TATAATTTATGCTTTAGTTCACGTTCAGACCTCAGACAAGCTCTCAGGAAGCCCTGGTCTTTACGAAATTCTTCCTTTCATGGACTTGGGCCTGTGGACTGGAGAGCCCTCTCATTGTGATCATGTGGATGGTGACAGCTTGTCTCTCAGGCCCTTTTCATTTCTCTGTCCTTCCTCACAGAGGGTGATGGGATTTTCAGTAATCGTCATCACCCCACACTACTGCCCTAGGAGGGGCTTATCCATCAGTGATGACCACCCAAAGGAGAACAGACCAGAGACTCTTCAATTAGAAGAAGAAATTCAGCTCAGCACTTGCACTTGTCAGCAGTTATGAAGCAGCCAGGGGCTCAGGAAAACTTTTAGTGAAAACTGGGAAGATGTGGGCCTGGAGGATGTTGACGTGAGGAAGCTGAATGTAGACTGAGTAGAAATGGGGAACATTACGTGCTTGGATTGAAAGCCAATTTTGCTTTCTCTGGTTGAGCCTGAGTTGGTAGCAAGGGTAAAAAATAAGGAGGTTGGCAGTTATTAATGGAGTCCTGACTGTTCAGAGCTAATTGCTGCAGAGGCCGTGGTGGTCTGGCCTCTTGAACTGCTTTCTTCAGAGGCCGTGAGTCTGAGTTCTTTTCACAGAACTAGACATCAGCCACATGTATACCCAATCATTCTTTTTTGATTTGTTGATACAGATTCACATTGGGCCTTCTTTGATTCCATGGACATGAGGTAACATCCTACATGTCATTGCTGAATGAAGGTTTTAGAACCTTTATGTGTTTCCATGACAATGGAATGTCCCATATAAGGCTTCACCGTCACCTGGGCCCCAGGGAGTGAAGAGCCGTCGCTGAAGACAGACCTGCAGCCGCCCAGCACCCACGTGAGATGCCAGTTACAGGGTGAGGTTCAGTTGGAGGCTGTTAGCCCTGAGTTCCTGTTTTCCACAGTAAGGACAGCTCATACAGCTATCCTCTGACTCAAGGAAGTGAGATTCTGAGAAGGGGCCCACTCTGCTTCAAAGAAACTCTATGGATTCAAATCGAGTTTCCTACACATCAAGTAATCCTGTCAACTTGATTGGATCAAGAAGGGCACAGAAGATAAGCAAGCATACCTGTGTTTGTGTCAGGCAGGACATTTCCAAGAGGACTGACTAGGGGTGAGCTACCCTCAATTCAGAAGGCACCATCTGTATCTGGGGACCCAGTTGGAAAAAAGAGGAAGTGCTCAGAGGGACTGAATTAAAATAAATGATTTCTAGGTTTTTTAAATCAAATATTTGCCACAGTGATGAAAAACCAATACAATGAGAAATACTGTATCTGTGTCAATGAGTAAGAACAGTAATATTGATATTGTAATTGATATATGCACCTAGGTGATTTTAAAGTGAAATGAAAAAAAGTGTTCTTCACTAGAATTCCTCTTAAGAAGGAAAGTTGTTTTGTTAGAGCAGTATACTGATTACTGAACAGGGGGACGATGCAGGCAACACTGTTCTTAAGTTCATGCAGGTCTCCTCTTGTCCTACATGGATGGACCAGCTTGACTCCATTTAAGATTAGAAGCCATCTTCCTATAAGGCCAAAATAAGTTCATTCCTGTTTTCTGTGAACTTGAATTTGACCAGGTCTTGACCCATCTTCTGGAATTTGATATGTCCAATACCCCATACCCTGACCTCCACCCTGAGGATAAGATGTTCTACCAAATAATTCTGAGATGTTCAGACACGTTCCTACGTAACCAAAATTCTTCTGGAAAGCCCCCAACCCTTGAAGAAGCCCCAGTCTTGCAGTTTTGGGGATATATAAACCCACTGTCTCCTGTGTTTGCTGCTGTTCTCTCAAACCCCACTTTAGGAAGACAGCCCTGTCTGGCAGGAAATAAAGCTTGCTTAATTCAACTAAAAGAATTTGGACCGGGCAGTGATGGCGCATGCCTTTAGTCCCAGCACTTGGGAGGCAGAGCCAGGCAGATCTCTGTGAGTTCAAGGCCGCCTGGCCTATAGAGCCAGATCCAGGGCAGGCAGCAAAACTACACAGAGAAACCCTGTCTTGGAAAAAAAAAGAATCTGAGTAACGGTCTTTACTCTCTTTTGGTGGGGTTAACAACTGGGGAGACCCCAGTGAGATCAAGACTACAACCCAAATTCTAAAACTGGACCTTCACTCTGGGACTCCTAGACTGGAATATTGCCTCAGGAAGCACTGGGCTCCTTGAAGATGTTCTAAGGCATGGTTTCAGTTGGTGGGTTGTTAGAGCAAACTGCCACACCCAAAAGAAACCAGCAGACACATGTCTGAGGAAGCCTCCATTGATAAGTCATAGAAAGTGGCTCCTTCTGTGACATCTGGTACTATTTCTGCTGGGATCCCATCAGGGGGCAGAAAGGGACCTGACGTAGTACACGAACTCCTGTCCAGATCACAAGCAAGGTACTACACTGCCCACTTGGTTTTTTGGCACCTGGTTCTTGGTCTCCTATGGTTTATTATTCTGTGTTTTGTTTGTTTCCTGTCCAGGACTGTAGCGAAAAGTCACTCTGCTAGCCTAGTTCTTGGATGCTGGGAACTGAGATGGAAATTGGTCAAACCCAGTTAAATGTATGAATGAAGGCAGCCACCTCATGTTTTGTTTTTGACCAGTCTTTTTATGTGAATGTTATGTGTTCTTCTCTCTCTCTCTCTCTCTCTCTCTCTCTCTCTCTCTCTCTCTCTCTCTGAATCTGCTGGCACCACCTGCCACTGCTCTGGCTGTTGCAGGTAACTGAAAACTTCTGCACTGCTTTGCCCCCTTGGTCTGCGCTAGGTGCTGGCTGGGAGAAAATGCCTGGCAGAAAACCCATGGTGGGCCATGGAAAGTGCTCAAGGACTGCAAGGCCATGGAAAAGGGCTGCGGATGGGGACCCTGCACAGGAAAATCGACAGGCACTGCTGCTGCTGTGTTTCCCATCACCACTGGTCAATAGACTCAATTTGTAGATATGGATAATACTGAAATATTGTTTCATGCTGTTCTGCTTTATTGGCTCTGGAGTTGGGCTATAGCTCCCCATTCCCTAGACCTAAACATGCTTATTTAAAAGTTTCCTCTCTGTCCTATGACAGGTGAGGGATCTGATTTTGTGGCAGAAAGAAAGACAACAAAACAAATAACAAAAATAGACTATTGGTTTCACTTGACTTTCTGAGACTTTTGATAAAACATGAACCTTATCTCAAGATCTCTAAAACTATTATCTGAACTTTCTATATCTCAAGATTTATAAATTTATTGGATATGGTTAAAGATATATAAAGACTATAATATTAAAGTTGTAAATAAAAGCCCTTAGTAATTGTTCTTTCTTTCTTTTTTTATTTTATTAAAATACTGAGTTTATTTCACATGTATATTTGTCTCCCTACCATTTCCACATCTGACCACCATTATTACTATGTCATATCATAACATTCTATACATACTTAAAACCAAGTAAAAGGTGGAGTTCCATCCTTGAAAACTAAACAGACATTTTAGACAACACATTCTTGGCAATGGAACCTGGACAACATTGATCAAACACAGCAGGGAAAGTTCTCACTTTGCATTATCAAAAGGACAGCCAGATATATCAACTGTTACAGAAATTAAGTAAGATGGAATTATTTCAAACTGTTTAAACCATTTTCTTAAAGAGACTTCTTCCACTGCCAGAGATCTTGAATAGCCTCCTGGTCAGTCATCCGGAAGCAATTCTTCACATAATTAATGAACTTGTCCTCCATTTTGGGAAGAGAACCACCTTTTTCTATACTTGCTTGCATTTTTGCCTTAATGTCTTCTACAGAACTAGGTCCTTTTGGTGTTTTAGGAGTTTTTTTCCTATTTTTTGAAAGACTCTTGACCCTTTGTTCTTGATGTTGATGTACAGACATTTTCAAAGTTGCCAGTGTTACTTTAATTGGGCTGCCTTCATAGTTCATTGCTTCTGCCTCTACGATGTGCAATTCATCTTTTGCCCCTGCCCCTAAACTAACCGTTCTTAGTGATAACTGGTGTTCATTCTCATCATTATCCACCTTAAAGTCACAATCCTTGTCAGCTTTTAGTTCACAACCGAAAAGGTAGTTCTGAGGCCTGAGAGGGCTCATGTCCATGTCCATCGAGTCTTCCATGAGGTGGAGGCGTGCACTTCGGTGTGAGAGAAGTCGGGTGGAGGAAACTGCCTACTGCTCCTCAGAACAGACACGCAGGACGGAATCACGCCAGCAATAATTGTTATTTCTTAATCAAGGTAACTTAAGTGAAATTTTGCTTACTATGGTTAGTAACTATTTGCTCTTAAAAAGAAACTAACATGTCTTCTGCATGTCAACCTTATGGCAAATTTCATGGATTGAAGCAAATGTTTATGTCTTCAAATTCATTGAGTCTGCATTTATTAAACCAGGGATGCTATCATTTGATATACGCAAAAATTCTTCTAGTAGTTTTGCCAATTCTTAGTCCTCTACACTGTAAGTAGAGGACTAAGCCTAAAAAAATCAAGACAAAATGCTGTGAATAGGAAAACCAAATAACAGAAGAGATTAAAAAAAGAAACTCTCTCATGGTGGGAGGGGGCGGGGAAATCACCCATCCCATCTCTTGGCTTAGGGCTGCTTTTCTCTTTGACTAGATTTTTTAAAATTTAATTTTAATTTAATTTAATTTTACATATCAGCCCAGATTCCCTTGTTCTCCTCCCTCCCCGCCTTCCCTCCAGCCTACCCCCCATTCCTATCTCCTCCATGGCAAAGACTCCCCTGAGGCTTGAGTTCAACTTGGCAGATTCAGTCCAGGCAGGTCTAGTCCCCTCCTCCCAGGCTGAGCCAAGTGTCCCTGTATAAGCCCTAGGTTCCAAACAGCCAGCACATGTACTGAGGACAGGTCCCGGTCCCACTGCCTGGATGCCTCCCAAACAGATCAAGCTAATCAACTGTCTCACTTATCCAGAGGGCCTGATCCAGTTGGGGGCTCCTCAGTTATTGGTTCATAGTTCATGTGTCTCTTTGACTAGATTTTGATGCCAACTTGGCAGTCACTAGAAGGGACCAGCATCTCTAGTTGGGTCTTCTGATTAAAATATAACTTAGAAGGACCAGCAGAGGCTTAATGTCATGACATAGGATCTGGCTAGCGTTTTAGACAAAGATGGCAAAAATCTATATTATTCTAGAATCTAGAATTCTAGAAACTAGAAGAAAAAATTCAAACCAAGAGGGTTAGCTACATCCATGAAAACACAGGAAGTAAATAATCTCATACCAACAAAATCAAAATAAGGGAAATACACACA